TACTTCTATAGCACGTTTTTACTCTGAGCTTTTTACCACAAGTCTCTCACACATTGATAGAACCTTTAACTCTTATTGATATAGCTTTAGATGTAAAGCAATAACTGGATTGCTGCCTTCTATATACATGTTCCCTCCTTGCAATGAAACATGCAGGTCGTTATTCTCTTCGTCCATAAGATTACTTGTTGCTTTCTGTTCCATTTGCACAAACTGAACTTGGCAAAAGAGCTTTTGTCCATTTAGCACCCTTGGCTTGGAACGAGCTGCAGAATGACTGGAAAATGACAAAATTATTGTCATTAAGTGTTTTTAATCCATAACATGCAACTGTTTCAATTAGATTGCTTGTCATTTTAATTAAATTTCATTTGCATTTTTGTGTATGTGTGTTTTGTTGTTGTTGTGTGTGTTTAATTGTGTCATTTTTGTAACTGCGTGATACTTGCTGCTGCCCATCTTGGCCAGGTCTCCCTTGAAAGGTTTCAAGGGTTTTTAATCAAAATGGGATCTTCCTAGTTAAACAGAGGTTAAATAAAAAAAATAAAAAAAACAAACAAACAAACACCTTTATATCTACAAATGTTTAACTTTCTAACAGTCGCACTCTGATGACTGCATCGGGGACAACTTGGGGATTCAGGATCTTTCCCAAGACTGGACTAGCTGGAGAACTGATCCACCACCCTTCTAACCTTCATTGACTTGTAAGCATTTGAGGACAAGTTAAAGATGTTAATAAACACCTCAGCCAGCTTACTGCCACATGCTCTGATCACGGGTTCTGGTATACCGTCAGGGCCAGCAGCTTTGTGTTAATTCTCTCTGTTTAGGGAGGACCTGACCTCAGAGGGCAGAGGTACATGGCCATCTGGTGGTGGCAGGGTTTTGATGGGAGTCTCTGTATTGACTCTGTCAAAATTGGCATAGAAATGGTTTAATACATCAGGGAGTGAACCATTATGGACAATACGGGAACTGTCTGTGCTCACGTGATCAGTTATTGCACATATTCTTTGCCACGGGCTCCGTAGGTGATTGTGTTATAGGAGGGCATTATCAATTTGTCATGTATAGTTTTGCTTTGCAGTGCTCTTTTGTACCTGCATCTGTGGGCTAGAGTGCCGCCAAATCTAAATGCAAGGTACGTCTATCAGCAAGAGACAAACGTCATCCTTTATCCAAACTTTATTCAAAGTTTTCTGATTTGGGTATACGTCTATTAAGTTCTATATTGTGACAGACTATGCAACTTTTTATACTGAGGAGGGATATACTTCTATTTCTGTGTGGGAACCCTGGGTAGCTTTGTGATGATACGGATTCTAATCAGTACGGGCAAAACAGCACTTAAGGGTAGACTCAGCCACTTTTGGCCAGACTGTAACCATCTTAGTTACAGTTTGTCCCTTTCTGTAAGTGGTCTGTTTCTGAGTAGTAAGAACAAGGAGTGGTAGTCTAACATGAGTGCAGGGCAAGCTCCTTTGTTGTTAGTACAGTAGAGATCAATTTATGTCCAAGGTAAGCCAAGGCAGCTCAACAGTCCACAATAATAGTGGTAATAAATGTTGGAAGGGTGGTATATCAGTACCATGTTGAGAACCAATTAAGTGAGCTCTTTAGAATAAACATTTTTGAGAGAAATGGGTCAAAGGCTTTCAGAATGACTAGGTGCTTAATTTTATACCCCTGAATTAAAAAATTAAGAGATGTGACTCACTTCTTTTGTCCATATAGAGTACCACTAATTGAGCCTTTAAAGAAAAAGACCAGTTTTCATGAAGCTACACTGACTATCTGGCATGTAAATCTTTTTAATAATATGACCAACCCTTTAAATACAGTCGTGTACACAAAAAAGTATAGCAGTTCAAAAAGGGCTAGCATAAAATAAAACTTGCATGGTTGTTAATCCGTGTCTTACCAGCAGCCACTGGTTTGTAACAGCTATCTTGGTGAAGTCCTGATGAGAGCCACAAGAGGTCAGTATCCAGTGTCAAGGCTGAAAGTCTCAGAGGATTGCAGCTTTCGACCCACAACCCAAAACCATCCCCGTCACTCTACAAAACCTAATACAAAAGTCAAGGGAGCCAAAAGGAGACAATGTCTACCTTTGGACTCCCTCTTTCACCAAAACCAACTTTTCCTTCCAAATAAAATTTCTGAAAGTAGTTGCAAACTCACTTTAACCTCAATATAGACAATTTTTACAAAACAAACAATATAGTACACCAACACCCTCAATTGATGACTGATTAGATTAGATTATAACACCAAACTTTACGATTATAGGGATAATAGAAGAACATGACACAACCAAGTCTGTATTCTGGTGGGTGACAAGACTCGTGGGTTAGAGAGGTCTGTTAAGCCAGATAGTCTTTTTCCATGGCATATAGTCTCAGCTGAGGATATCCCTGATGAGCCAATCAGCAACAAAATGAATACCACTGTCAAATAAAGTTAATTACATAGATTATTTTAACAATTTTGGATTCTGATGTCCCCGCATAGACAACACTGGAGACCAAGCACCCTTCGCAGCATTATTTCGAGTCATTCTACCCTCCAAAACTCCTGAGGTCCTCATCCCATATCCCATTAAGATTAACTAAGACATTCAGCAACAAGCCCAACCATTCACCCATGGGATGCAGAAGATCTACTGCCTGCATCCCATTACTGGACTCACCAGAACAGCCCCAGCCCCGAAGTCCCTTTTTTCTGTTGGGTCAAAGTTGTTTTGGAAGCACAAGTAGAGATGCTTTCTATACGTTAGGAGGGCACCATCATCGTTTTGCATTAAGAGTGTAAAATACTGATGGGTGCTTGCCATTTAATTGCTTAACAGTAATTAAATGGCAAGCAAAAACAGAGCATGTGCTTTAAGATAATCAAATCTAAATGGTGAATTATTCTATTAAATTCTGGTCTTGTTTATAGTGCTGAATGTAATTTCCAACAGTAGAAATACAGCAATTTTGAAACTGAGAATGAAAACTTTTTTAGTGGGTTGTTTTTTTGTGTTACTCATCCATTTGAATAATTAACAAAATATAAAAAAGGACAAATTAACTTAAGCATGGTTCGGAAGAATTGTTGTCCCATCAGTTTCTCAGTGCTTGGTAGCACACTAAATTTCACACATGATATGAAATTTATCTATTTATTTATTTATTTATTTATTTTTTATTCAGCTTATACCACAACACTAGCTGTGGCTTTTCAAATTATATAATTATATATACATTGCTTTTATACTGGCTAGCAGGAGCACTAAAGAGCACATTTAGACAGGACCTGTATTAAATTAGCACAATTTTTACTGTGATTCTAACCACATAAGGACAACACAACAAACTTCTTACACAGGGCAAAATATCCGGACACACAATTTGTGAAACTACGGGTAGGCAATATAGCCTCAAAATTATATCACACTATTTCAATGAAATTTACTGCAATTGTGTTTCTGAGACTATCGAGTCAAAAAAACAAACAAACAAAAAAAAGAAAGAACTTCATCTGTGAGAGCAGTTTCGAGGCAGCAGTATTTATTACTGCAAACAAAGTTAAGGATAGCTTAGTCATTTTTTTCCAATGAGCTATTGTCATTGATGGCAGCCATGTAATTCGCAGTGTGAATATATTGCCACAAGATGCCAGGAGTAGCAGTATTATAGTGGAATATTCTTGCATTACAGCAATACGATGATACACCATTAGTCAAACATAAGCACAAAAGCAGCCTATGTAATGTTTTCCCTGCTCAGCCCACTCTTGCACAGGAATAAATTACCACCCCAAGTGGAGGGCTTCAAATATCTCACAATCTTGTTCATGAATCATGGCAGAGCAGAGCTTCAGCCTTCATATAGACTGAAGAGCTTGGCCACTTGAGAGGGGCTTGCAGTGGAGCCGCTGCTCTTCCACATTGAAAGGTGACACTTGAGCTTGTTCAGGCATTCAGGTCTCATGGAAGGCTCTGAGAGGAGGTGTCCAAAGCATGTCTGGCCCCAAGGGAGACGTATGACCCAGAGATTAGCTGGCTTGGCACAGCGTCTTGGTATACTCCTTCCAGAAGAGTTAGAGGAGGTGGTCAGGTAAAGGGAGGCCTTGGTTGCAGGGGTAGCCTAGACCTAGCAGAAAATAGATCAGTCCAAATGGATGGACTGTTCTTTTTCCACTGTGGACTGATTGTACAGTTTATATTTTTAATGACTTTTAAAAAAAAACAAGTATTGTTGGAACAGTGCTCTTGGGTCTAAAAGCCTCATCTTTTCACCTCAAAACACACATCCTTTTACTTTCAAATACACACCTTAAAGCATAACTCATAAGCTGGAGAGGAAATGGCAACTCACTCATTTAGAAGATCATCCTTTAGCCTGGAAGATTAGTTTTTTGCTCTATAAAAAGCCCTCTGTAAAGCTGGAAGATCTTACTATTCTATACTGAGTGAAGAAGAACCACCCTAGGTTTCTCTTCAGCACTGCAGCCAAAATTGTGCTTTTTAGACCCCATTCCTACAAGACTACGCAAAGAAGCATTATTTACCATTAATTAATGCTTTAAGCTTAAACATAATCAACCTCTCTCTATGACTTGAGTACGTAAGACAGGCCTTTAAGCGGTCAGTAACCCAGAAACAGCTTCAGTGAAGGTTACAAATGTGGACAAACAGTGGACTCATCTCTGTGCTTGTCCTCCTAGGCCTCAGTGCAGCGTTCCATACTGTTGACCATAATATAATATTACAGCAATTCGAGCGTGCTGTAGGTATTAAAGGTACTGCAGTGCAGTGGCTTAAATCATAGCTAACAGACTCCAATTTGTTAATGCAAATGGAGTCTTCTTCACACACTAAAGTTACCTAGGGAGTTCCACAGGGATACCCAACTTTATTTATCCATGAAGCCAGATAATATACATAAATTATTTAAACTGCAGGAATTTCTTACAGACATAAAGACCTGGATGACCTGATTTTCTGCTTCCAAATTCACATAAAAACTGAGGTTATTGTAGTGTGACCTAAAACTCTAAGTTATTATTGGGAAGGTCTTTACCTTACAATATTAAGCGCCTTGAGACAACTGTTGTTGTGATCTGGTGCTACATAAATAAAATTGAGCTGAATTGCTTGCAAGCCAAATAGTTCAAGCTTTGTCTTGTCTGACCATAGCGATATTTTCCACATTTGACCTGGGCATGTGGGCAGCTATAAATTTCAGTTGAGCTTCTTTATTGGTCAACATCCTCTCAGTCCATGACAATGTAAAACTTGCTACAAGTCTTTAGGTAAGTCATTAAAAACGTATGCTGAATCACCATTCCATCCTGAAAAATGAAGTTTAAAGACATTATTAAAAGTGCCAAATTACTATTACATTCATGCCCATGATCCACTGGAGCCACAGTAGTAATGGTAATAACACCAACAAAGAACAACAATATGAAAACTGAAAATGTAAAAATGAATTCCACATTTGCTGAATTAGTGGGTTTCCCTCACTTTTTGTCATCATGGTGGAAATGTTTGCAGAAATTTGGTTTTATATAGAGTAGGCACTTGATTTTGGAGCACACGGAAGCTGGGTGACACATAGTCAATGATTATTCATTTAAATATGGTCATCTCCATAACCATATTTAATGCAATATATCACATCACATAAATTACTTAAATGCACAATGAACCACAGTGTAATCCCAAGCTTTTCACATGCGCTGCACACAATTTAACTCAGTGAAACCACTGGCCCTGATTAGCCACACAAAACCCCTTCAAACAGCAGCAGAACAGGCTTTCTGGCTGCCTCCCACCATAATGACAGGAGGGAGGTCTGACAGAAAGCTGGCCCAACTAACAAGCTAAAGTCTGAAGATGAGTTTACCTGTGTTGGAGCGCCGACGAATGCCAAAGTCCCAGCTGGAGGTGATGTCCATAGACTGAGAGAGGTCACAGGGATGACTGTCTGTCACACTACTGCCCCCCTCATTCAGGAGGCCTGACCCAGTTGACCCAAAGCTGCTACCAGGCACCAGAGAAAGCTGGCACTTCTCAAGATCAACATCCTGATCTATTAGCACCATTTCACACATTCCAGTATCATCACTGGTCACATGAGATTGTCTGATGTGAGCCAGGATAATGGCCGGATTGTCCAAGAATGCCATTTCCTCTGTTTGGCTAAGTGTGTCTTTTTGCTTTGGAAATTTTCTCACCCTCTTGCCTGTATGCCAAAGGGTTCCTTTTCTTTTCTTATCAGTCTCTGTTTGAGAGTGTTACAGCTCTGACTGATGACAAGAGAGGTGTCACCTTTTCCATCTTTTGATGACTATTTTTTAAGGTCCAAGGTAGGCAAAGTAGTCCCTAAGGAGAGCAAAGAAATTGTTATTACATGTTGCAGTCTAGAAGTAGGATTTCAGCTCAATCTTTTAAAACTGATATATTTAAAAACTATAAGCTCAATTCACACATCCCAAAGCCCACTTTAACTTTTTTTTTTCATATTTTGCATGGTTGGATCTTAACAAGGTTCCAAGTAGAGCTTCAACATGCAACAAGAAGGAATGGGAGTGAGACAAAACATTTCTTTTGAGCATGCATTTTATTGAAAACAACACACTTAAACTGAAACAGGCTGTTTTACACCCGATCAAAGGTTGAGGACACAGCTAGCTGTTTGATGTGGGACAGTAAACTTTAATGTTTAAATGGATCTATTTTAAAGATGTAGAGCTCTAATGTGCAGCTGCTGCCTTAAAAATCATCAATGGCAGCAAAATCCCACTCAGTGATAAAACTGTTAAGTAGAATTAAAATTATTATTGCTTGCGCCAAATCACCAGATTAAGTAAAGAGTTTTCCCGTCATTTTTAAAAACAGTGATGCATTTTACTGGTATATTTTTATGATAAAGATTTTAATGCAATTTGATAACATCTCTAAAGTATAGGTAGCACTCAGAGGGATAATTTTCTATGGAAGAAGAGTCACAAGATTCCTGAAACGCCTATTTTGTGATTGGTCAGATGTCTGCCAGTGCCACACATTTCGTGTGAATGCACAGGGGAGACCCTTCGTTAACACAGTGACTTGATAATCAGCTTTGTGCGATCGGTTATCCTGATCATCAATTTTAGGATATGTGAATCCAGACAATGGAGAGATACCCTAAATATACTGAACACACATAGTTTACCCAACTCCTACTTCACAGTATAGGCCTCAGCTTGGCTGAAGAGGCTTTAAAAGTCTCAACAGTTAAAACAAAGATTGTCATTTTGCTAATAATCTCTTTAAATGGGTTTGAACTTTGATACCAACAAACAAAAACTGAAGTTTGAATGTCCGTGATATTAACACTGAACATAAAGATGTTGATAATTTCAACATGTAAATAAGAGCTGTAAGCCAGGCCAAAACAACCCCACACTCAAACTAGGTTGAATGAGATACCAACGTTAACACGTCCAATAAAGGATCAGGACCAGAGCACCAAGATTTTTTGTAACTTTAGTAAACAAACGTCAGACTATTAATAAAATATTGTTAGGTTTTGAATAGTTCAAATTGTATGCGGCGGGCCTAATCTTACATTAGAAGATCCAGTAATTGCAAAGAGCTTCTAGACGACGCTAACTGCAACTAATGAAAAGCTGTAGTGTATTGTCAGGTTTGTCCTTGCTGACAGCTTAAGGGTCTTCTTCTCTTAAGCGAAATGTGTTATGGCGTGTAATGCCAAGTGATACTGTTTGATACCTGCAACAAGCACCTCACGTAATGATTCATCGTAGCTGTTTTTAATGATAGGTGATGTAGCTATTGTCTTTTTTGCTAACCATCGTAGCCGGCTGACTTCAAAGTAATACTTTTTTAAAATCACAGGCCGCCTGCTTAGAGTGGCAAAAAGGTTTATTTTTAGTGTCAGGATTGGAAAAATATTTCACCAGAAGCGGTTCAATCTAGTAGCTTGCAAGCTCATTTAAGCTAACGCGACCAGCATTTGGTTGCACCTCCCTTGTTTAAGACGACGTCTTACCTTTAGATGTATCCACCAAGGGAAAGAAACATCCACCATTCTCCATATTATACAAGCATAATCATAATAGAGTCAGAAACTCTGTTCATCACGACTAATGTTCCACATTAAAGTCATAATACAAACCAACTCAACCTGGTATGCTCTGCCTAACAACCAACCCGGCTATACTTCCGGTTCCGTTGCTTCGTGATAAAAGAAAAAAAAGACTGATTTCGTTTTCACAGAAAGCCTCAGTCATCGACATATTTTGCAACATTTTTATCCTTATTACGCTTTTATTAAAATATAACTGTTTATGAAAATATCATGTAACTTAATTTGATTAAGTCTAACATTATTATTATTATTATTATTTAGTTATAATTATAATTGTAAAAAATATACCCGACAGTCAGGGAGGGCATTTTATGTGCTTCGACCTAAAATGAGGTCCATATATATTTGGAAACTGTGTTTTTTTACCTGTTTACTGAAACATATTCCAATTATTGTTATATAATTGACATGGACATAATATGTAGAATCTCACCTTTCGTCTGAGGGTATCCACTTTTAAACTGGAATGAAGAGTTCAGGAGATTCAGGTCCTTAAAATGTGCCCCCCTTTTTTTAAAGACACAAAAAGTAATTGGACAATTGGCTCAAAGGCTGGGGGAGCCTATGGTGAAAGAGTTCATTTCGTTTTGTTCTGCACTGAAATCGATTGGACAGTGTTAACTGCACAGTACTGCAGGCAGCATTTAGTGGAGATGGACAAGCCGCAAGGAAATGCTCCAACGAGCCACGATATAAACATGCCATTATTTGCATCTGTCGCTTTTCCATAGTATTAATCAGACCCTTCCCAGCTACATCAGCTCAGCAGTGTTGTTGCTGGAATAATTTAATAAGCATTTGGCTGCATCCTCCTTTGTGTAAGGATGATTGAAGGTATGTTTAAATTCTTCCAAAAAGTCATTAAAGAGATGTGAGTACATTTATCGATTTCGTCAAGCCTGCTAAAGAAAATAAAGTGCTTAATTTATTAATACATGCATAATTTTAAGAGAATGCCGTATAAGCTGTATAATGTGTGTATTTGTCACGTTACATGAGAGTGTCTGTTGGTGTGCTCCCAGGGTCCGCCCTCTGGGGCGGAGGTTTTGGTGTTGCATCAGATAGCATCACCTCAAGGATTGTCAGGTCCTGCGCAGATCAACTGTGTGGGGTGATGGAGCACATCTTCGAACTGAGCCTGAGGCTGGGGAGAGTTCAACAGCTCTGGAAAAACCTCTTGTGTTGTACCAGTGCTAAAGACTCCACGTCCCAAGAACTTCAAAGGCTACAGGCCAGTAGCTCTGACATCCTACCTGATGAAGACCCTGGATCAGTTGGTCCTGGCTCAGCTTCAGCCCCTGGTGAGCTCATCACTGAACCAACTTCAGTTTGCCTGCCAACTTGGCATTGGAGTGGATGATGCTGTCACTCTCCTCCTACATCGTTCCCTCTCTCACCTGGAGACTGCTGGGAGCACTGTGAGAATCATGTTCTTTTATTTCTCCAGTGCCTTTAACACTATTATTCCCACAGTCCTTAAGGACAAACTGGAGAATTCAGAAGTGGACCATCATCTCACAACATGGATACTGGACTACCTCAAGAAAGGACAGAACAGGCTGTACCTGCTGCAGGGGCTCAGGTCTTTTGGATTGAGGGGCCCACTCCTGAAGACCTTCTATGGCTCTATGCTCCGGACAACATCCTGGGTTCCTTGGGACACAAAAACCTGTTCTAAACTGCAGCAATTACCCCACTTTGTTTTCCATAACTGGGTGTACTAATTGAAGCTTCTCCTGTGTCTAAAAAATAATAATAGTTATCTGAATACCTAAACAGTTATCAAAATACAATAGCTATAATAACATGCTCAATCATCCAGGTAAGTAAGTTGGACTACAGACGAAAATTTGAGCCTGTTTCAGCAATGCTAAGCAACCAGCATCCAACATCAACATGGAGGGGAGGAAGGCACTCACATCACTTATAATGACAATAACATTATCTGGCAGACAAGGGTAGGTGCACGGTTGTGCACCAGAAAGATTATCATGAGAAAATGTTGTCACTGCTCAGTGACAAAAATACTTATGAGCCCCTGAAACGAGACCCAGGAAGTAGTTACAGGAAGAAGGTGATAGATTGTCTCAAGCAGTTAGAACAAGAAACTGCTATTGACTGGATCTCATACCACATCTCATACCAGGGGAATCTACACCAAGTCTGTATATGGTTTACTGGGTGCAGGGTGTACCAATTGTCTGTATGATCAACTCGGTCACCTATAACATTCCAAGGTTTCTGATTTGAAAACACTATGCCCAGATGAAAAGAATCAACCTTTTGGGATTTGTTGCATGGTGGACACAAAAATGTACATTAGCAGTTAAACAACAGAATAAGGCTTTCAAAAGATTTAAAAAAAATGTTCCCAAAATCTAATAAACTACAAAAAGAAACAAAGAGACTTTCAAAGAGACTCAGGGCATATAGTTTTTGCTGATATTTTTACATTTTTGAAGGAGACGAGAATTTTAAAAAATAAATGTATTGGCGGTACTGTAGATTCTGTGCTATACTCCAATCTAAAAGGTGGCGGTATTGCACCTAGAAGTTATTTGCCAACCGCCAAAAAAACAGGGGAAGAAGAAGAAGAATTTCGCTACTTGCCAACCAATAAATATTAAGAAGAAGAAGAAGACCGCGACGACTCCTCCGAATCCGAACGAGTTCTTTCCGCTTTTCGAACAATGATATCTTCCTGAAACCGCTAGCTGGAAAACTGTTGTGCAGATATGCACAGAATAGGTTGTGTTTAGCACTGGTTTGATGAATAAGGCAATTTTCTAACAATGCGAGCTTTTCCAAAGCTGTGAAACGACCTAACCAAACAGAACACTGAGGAAAAAATTTCGGGACCCTCTCACATCCAACTGTTAGCCTGTTTCGGTAAGTGGTTAACCCAGTTAGATTGCTAACATTATCATTTATTGCAAATCCAAGAATGTGATACGTGAAGCTGCCTTTGGTGGTGTAATTGACTGAGGTATGTGATATAAGCGCTTAAACGATCCAAGGGATAACAGACCGTTGGCTGGCCAGTAAAACCATAGCTGACGTCTGTGGTCGGTTGCAGCTGGCGTGTGGAAGATGCACTATGTTACCCGACTAGCTTGTTAGCTTGATCGCTTATTTATTATTTCACAGTTAGAGTTGACAAACGAAGTCGAGTTATTGTCGCACAATAAATAATTTAGTTATGGCTGTTGTTAGTAATTTGTGTTAAACCTACGAATCAATGCGTAACTTGTCCTGTATGAGGAGAACTTTTGAGTGACATCTTTTTATCTCATTGCACCACTGGAATTTTGAGTGTTAGGACGTAGAAGAGAAATCCAGTCCTTTGCAGAGGAGCTCACTGGAGACCAAAAAAAGCAAATTTATGTCCTTAACGTAAGCTGTTTGTTTATACCCCAGATTTTTTTTGTGACTTATGTAAAATAAGTTGCATCAAGATTTAAAAAATATGGCAATAGAAGTTTTTTCCCAAAAGCCAATAAAAATGTACATGGGCCATTAAAACTCTGAGCCATTGTCCTGAGGGTTGTTTGGTTGGACACAATTCAGTTCAATTCAATTTTATTTATATAGCGCCAAATCACAACAAAAGTCGCCTCAATGCGCTTCATAGATACAGAGAAAAACCCAACAATCATATGACCCCCTATGAGCAAGCACTTTGGCGACCGTGGGAAGGAAAAACTCCCTTTTAACAGGAAGAAACCTCTGGCAGAACCAGGCTCAGGGAGGGGCGGGGCCATCTGCTGCAACCGGTTGGGGTGAGAGAAGGAAGACAGGATAAAGACATGCTGTGGAAGAGAGACCGAGGTTAATAACAGATATGATTCAATGCAGAGAGGTCGATTAACACACAGTGCGTGAGAAAGGTGACTGGAAAGGAAAAACTCAATGCATCATGGGAATCCCCGGCAGCCTACGTCTATCGCAGCATAACTAAGAGAGGATTCAGGGTCACCTGGTCCAGCCCTAACTATATGCTTTAGCAAAAAGGAAAGTTTTAAGCCTAATCTTAAAAGTAGAGATGGCGTCTGTCTCCCGAATCCAAACTGGAAGCTGGTTCCACAGAAGAGGGGCCTGAAAACTGAAGGCTCTGCCTCCCATTCTACTTTTAAATACTCTAGGAACAACAAGTAAGCCTGCAGTGCGAGAGCGAAGTGCTCTAATAGGGTGATATGGTACTACAAGGTCATTAAGATAAGATGGGGCTTGATTATTTAAGAGCTTGTATGTGAGGAGCAGGATTTTGAATTCAATTCTGGACTTAACAGGAAGCCAATGAAGGGAAGCCAAAACAAGAGAAATATGCTCTCTCTTTCTAGTCCCTATCAGGACTCTTGCTGCAGCGTTTTGGATTAGCTGAAGGCTTTCCAGCAAGTTTTTTTTGGACGTCCTGATAATAATGAATTGCAGTAGTCCAGCCTGGAAGTAATAAATGCATGAACTAGTTTTTCAGCGTCACTCTGAGACAGGATATTTCTAACTTTAGAGACACTGAATTACTATTTATAATTATTATTATTGACATCTACTGGGGATGGAACAGTTTACAAAATCTGTGGTTCTGTTCATAGCACAGTTTTGGGGTCACAGTTTTTGATTCAATTTGGTATATCTTTGCTCTTGTAAGTTAGTGCTCTAATACAGTGATACCATACTTTAAGATCATTAAGATACGCATCTGGTTATATACAATATTTTGGAGATTTTTAAGGTCTTATAAGGAGGTGAACTATTTAAACATTTTAAAAGACCTGTTTTTTGTCTTTTGAATATTTATTACTGCTCATTAATAAGACAAAAGTATTTCTTATTCGATTTTTGATGCATTAATAGATACTCAATTACTAAAATGATCTAAGATGAGCCCCAGTACAGTCTCTACTTATCTGAAAAAAAGAAATGCTCTTATATAACTATTATTAGCTTACAGCTTTAAGTGTTTAAGGTATGTGCTAACTAAAAATAAAGACAAGATGATAGTTTATTAAATTGTAATGAAATTTGCAGATTGTTTCGGTGGAGTTTAATAAACTCCTTGCTATCTAAAATATAACAGGACACCGGAGTAAATTCTCGAGCATCTCACACTTCTGATAATCAGCCGTCTGTTTGACGTTTACTCAGCTGTGTAAAAACTTTAACCTCAGCCAAACCGATTTACTCAGGAACAAATGAAATACTGAAAAAAGCCAAACAATAACATTTTTAACTTATCTAAGTGACTTTATACGTGTTTAACCTGAGTAGCGAAAGACGCGGTGGGTTTGAAAACGATTTGCCGGGACTCTGCTGTTCTCACGGGCTCTAGTGAGCCTTGCCCCCGGCTAGCTATCGAGCTAGTGGGTAACAGACGTCTCCGAAAACGTCGGAGCGCTTTTGAAAATATGTGGTGTCCTGATAAACTGAGCAGATATTTGAGGTTTACACAGCTACTTTCTTGCCTGAAAATATGTTAAACGTTTATTTTGTGACCCAGAAAGAATAATAAGAGTAATATTAAAACTAACTAGCTGCCGCCATTGTTGAAAACTGAGCAGGGCTGCGCTATGAATTCTGGGACACAGCTTCTTCTTCTTCGGGGTTTAACGGCAGCTGGCATCCTTGTACATGCAGTGCTGCCATCTTCTGTTTCAGTTGGTTATTACACTCTTAAATCCTACTACTTATTCCTGCATCTTTCAGGATCTTACAAAGCTTCAAACGATGCGTCAACTATTAAATTAGTCGTCGATGATTTTGATAGTCGACGTAATCGTGACTAGTCGACTAATCGTGGCAGCCCTAATTAGGATGGATAAGAACAACTACATAAATGGACTTAGAAGCTGACACTGAACAGACAGCATACAACGATAACATGAAGCAGCTCTACGACACAAGCAAGAAATTGTGTGGGAAGCACAGCAAGCCAGAACAAGGACAAGGAGGGAAAGGCCATCACAGGACTAGTGCAGCAGATGAAAAGATGGTCTGAACACTTTGAGGATCTCCTGAAGAGACCTGCACCACCAAATCCACCAGACATCAATCCAGCCAATGAATATCTCCCCATTAACTGCAGCAGACCAACCAGAGAAGAGATCAGGAAGTCCATCACCCTAATGAAGAACAGGAAGGCTGCTGAACCTGGCGATATACCAGCAGAGGCCCTGAAAGCAGATTTGGAAGCACCAGTGGAGTTGCTATATACACTCGTCTAGAAACTCTATGGAAAAAGAGGAGTAACCACCCCAAGAAGGGTGACCTCAGCAGCTGTAACAACTACAGGGCCATCGCACTCCTGTCAGTAACAGACAAGGTCTTCTATCGGGTCGCTACTATGGGATGAGCAAGCAGTAGGGATGGGTACCGGTGTCCGGTGCCATGATGGCACCGGTTCTGACATAAACGGTAGTAACCAGACCGAAAAGCAGCGCACATTT